CTGATAACACCTCCACTACTGTTGATAACACCTCCACTACTGGTGATAACACCTCCACTACTGATAACACCTCCACTACTGGTGATAACACCTCCACTACTGGTGATAACACCTCCACTACTGATAACACCTCCACTACTTGATAACACCTCCACTACTGGTGATAACACCTCCACTACTGTTGATAACACCTCCACTACTGATAACCCCTCCACTACTGTTGATAACACCTCCACTACTGTTGATAACACCTCCACTACTGGTGATAACACCTCCACTACTGGTGATAACACCTCCACTACTGTTGATAACACCTCCACTACTGTTGATAACACCTCCACTACTGTTGATAACACCTCCACTACTGTTGATAACACCTCCACTACTGATAACACCTCCACTACTGTTGATAACACCTCCACTACTGTTGATAACACCTCCACTACTGATAACACCTCCACTACTGGTGATAACACCTCCACTACTGGTGATAACACCTCCACTACTGTTGATAACACCTCCACTACTGTTGATAACACCTCCACTACTGGTGATAACACCTCCACTACTGGTGATAACACCTCCACTACTGGTGATAACACCTCCACTACTGTTGATAACACCTCCACTACTGTTGATAACACCTCCACTACTGTTGATAACACCTCCACTACTGGTGATAACACCTCCACTACTGATAACACCTCCACTACTGTTGATAACACCTCCACTACTGTTGATAACACCTCCACTACTGTTGATAACACCTCCACTACTGGTGATAACACCTCCACTACTGTTGATAACACCTCCACTACTGGTGATAACACCTCCACTACTGTTGATAACACCTCCACTACTGGTGATAACACCACTACTGTTGATAACACCTCCACTACTGGTGATAACACCTCCACTACTGTTGATAACACCTCCACTACTGGTGATAACACCTCCACTACTGTTGATAACACCTCCACTACTGTTGATAACACCTCCACTACTGTTGATAACACCTCCACTACTGTTGATACACCTCCACTACTGTTGATAACACCACTACTGGTGATAACACCTCCACTACTGTTGATAACACCTCCACTACTGTTGATAACACCTCCACTACTGGTGATAACACCTCCACTACTGGTGATAACACCTCCACTACTGGTGATAATGTCAAGAGCTAACTATGAAGTACTAAGATTTGTGCATGTCGTAAGATGCTTCACTTGAACCATTATCACTTCGACTATTACAACCATCGCTACAACCATTACCACCTTCGCTACAATCATTACTACAACAACCACCACCACCATCACTACTTGTAGTACCATTAACAAAACTATCACTCTCGCTACAACAATCACCACAACCACCACTACATGTAATATCACCAACAAAACTATCACTCGCTACAACAATCACCACAACCACCATCACTACATGTAGTACCATCAACAAAACTATCACTCTCGCTACAACAATCACCACCACCACCACCACATGTAGTACCATCAACAAAACTACCACTCTCACTACAACAATCACCACCACCACCATCACTACTTGTAGTACCATCAGCAAAACTACCACTCTCACTACAACAATCACCACCACCACCATCACTACTTGTAGTACCATCAACAAAACTACCACTCTCACTACAACAATCACCACCACCATCACTACAGCCGCCACCATGGTTGGGCACCAACACTGTACAACCCTGACGTGTGGTAGTAAACAGCCAGCCTTCACATACACCTGCATGTATCCTGACGCAAGTTAAATATATCTAACCTTTAATATCACTACGGTATTATCAACATGTTTTTGCTCCACACAACCAACACCGTAATAAATACTCTAATTAAAAAAAAAATATATAAAAAACTCCTCTAATCCAAATCTCTAGTTAACTTGTAATATAAAAGTCGAGACTTATAATTTGAACGACTTCATAATTAATATAAATATAGAATTAAAAATGTTTCTTCATCTTTATTTTTGTGTAATGGTTGAGAGCCACGTGGTGCCTGACGACGCCGCCAGGTAGGCCTGGAGGGCTGCCACGGCTCGTGACCTTGAGCAAGCGTAGGCCTACGTCCCACAAGTAATATATGTTAATATATACCAGTAATAACCTCACTAGTTAAACGAGACTGGTGAGGGTGTAGTGTGTGTGTGAGGGGACGTGGCAGGAGCTGCTGCCCACCATCAGCTGTGGATGTAAACACGGCCATGGTGGAGCTGCCTTCCCCTGGCCGCGATCAGCTGATTCCCTCGTCGTCTGTCGCCCCCTTGCCAAGTTCCTCCTGATTCCTTGCCAATCTCAGCCGCCCGGCCCGGCCAAGCTGGGCAACTACGGCCAAAACGGGCTCGTGCCAGGAATTCCACACCCATATCTGACAGGACTATGGGACCAGGAAGCCACAATATCACCCACAACCAGCTTGGCGCGCCACAACAAAATTTCGTCTGCAACTTACCATGGTCATATCAGGCTGGTGTATGTGCGTCTCTTTTCGCTCTGTATTCCACTTTTTTTCGTTGACGACACGACTTGGTTCGGCACTCAGTCACTATACATAACCCACACGGTAACATGGCACTTCACACACTACCCTAGTATCCCGCCTCACATAGATAATCATGCCAGAATATAGTGGCGTATCACTTGCTGATGTTTCGATGTTTGTTACAGACTGGCTGCACTGAGTAAACTAACGGCGGTGAACCTTTCGTCCTCACACCTCCACTCTTCCAAACACGCGCTCAAATGATAATAAAACATACAATCAATTATTATTTGTATTATTACTACATGCCTTTTAAATTTTTAAATATACATGGTAACATTCCATGGGTTCGATGTACAGGGAGAAGTATAGTTGTTCGCTTGAGGGTGGTGGTGGAAGGGGGCGCGCCGCGGAGCTGCCGAATAAGGAAGAATGGGATGAGGAGTGGGCGGAGCCACGCTGCAGACTCCGCCTACTCCGTGACGTCATAGTGACGTCCCCGCAGGCCGCCAAAAGCAAGATGTGTGGGGGTGGGACAGCCCCTGGTAAATGGCACATCTTGGTTTAAACAATATGATTACCTGTTAATACCATTTAATGTCGCTCACGCATTATATTTACCGCCCTGTATCTTTCTTTCGTTACCTTCTTTTACTACGTTCATCCATCTTTCATTCAATATAGACGTAATATCCTATTACGTGGCCAACGATAAAACACATACACCAGTAATTTATATGCCTTTCCCTATATGCAGATTTTATCTCTATATTTACTTATCCTTCCTCTGTGGGAGTACAGCGACGACCTTGCTTGTTGCAGGTCGGCGCTCGATCCCTCATGCTCCGAGGGGTTGGGCAATGTTTCTTCCCCCCTTCCTCATATACCAGCACCTTGTTTATGTTTATCATATATACAGGAAGGTAAATAGGCACTAAAAGTACATATGTTGGTAATTAAGTGATACATTCTTGAAAAGCCACTATCTTGCACGTTTAGAATTTCAGACAGGATTTGTCCAAATCAAATTCATAATTATGATTTATTTTGTCTGGGACAGGCAACCTGTGTATGTATACACGATAGGTATATATCGAGGTCCCCACCAAGATGGAACTACTGACACTCCCCAGGATGCAACCTATTTATTGCGAGGTGAACACAGATAACAATCCCTCCATGTACTATACAATCAATGCCATAGTGCTTTCTCCAGATACCTTATCTTCCTATGTAAGTCCTTTTCCTTGTGATATCGTTACTATCTTTACAACTTATATAACCTCCATTAATTAGGTTATAGCACCTACATTGTTAACATCGTGAGACTTCCAATAGCATTCCTTAAGCATAGGCATTTATAGCCTATTGTGGCTCTATCAATTTATCCATTATTCTTATGATTAACCTCACAATTTCTAAAGAAATAGTTTTATTAAGCTTCCCTAACATATTATACTTCAATTTCTATAATTATTTAGAAGAGAGAGAATTTCTTAACGTATATATCACCTACATATGTTTTCCCAGGAGTGGGGGAACAGGACGTGTGTACTTAGGCTATGTAGGTCACCCTAGGCTACGGCTCCCTATCCTTTCTTGTCTCATTACAACTTTTCCAACAACGTTCTCTCCTGTGCACCCCCACACCCAAGTTCTCACCTGTGGACCCCTACACCCAAGTTCTCACCTGTGGACCCCTACACCCAAGTTCTCACCTCTGGACCCCTACACCCAAGTTCTCACCTGTGGACCCCTACACCCAAGTTCTCACCTGTGGACCCCTACACCCAAGTTCTCACCTGTGGACCCCTACACCCAAGTTCTCACCTGTGGACCCCTACACCCAAGTTCTCACCTGTGGACCCCTACACCCCAAGTTCACCACCTGTGGACCCCTACACCCAAGTTCTCACCTGTGGACCCCTACACCCAAGTTCTCACCTGTGGACCCCTACACCCACGTTCTCACCTGTGGACCCCTACACCCACGTTCTCACCTGTGGACCCCTACACCCACGTTCTCCCCTGTGGACCCCTACACCCACGTTCTCACCTGTGGACCCCTACACCCACGTTCTCACCTGTGGACCCCTACACCCACGTTCTCACCTGTGGACCCCTACACCCACGTTCTCACCTGTGGACCCCTACACCCACGTTCTCACCTGTGGACCCCTACACCCACGTTCTCACCTGTGGACCCCTACACCCACGTTCTCACCTGTGGACCCCTACACCCACGTTCTCACCTGTGGACCCCTACACCCACCACGTTCTCACCTGTGGACCCCTACACCCACGTTCTCACCTGTGGACCCCTACACCCACGTTCTCACCTGTGGACCCCTACACCCACGTTCTCACCTGTGGACCCCTACACCCACGTTCTCACCTGTGGACCCCTACACCCACGTTCACACCTGTGGACCCCTACACCCACGTTCTCACCTGTGGACCCCTACACCCACGTTCACACCTGTGGACCCCTACACCCACGTTCTCACCTGTGGACCCCTACACCCACGTTCTCACCTGTGGACCCCTACACCCACGTTCTCACCTGTGGACCCCTACACCCACGTTCTCACCTGTGGACCCCTACACCCACGTTCTCACCTTTGGACCCCCTACACCCACGTTCACACCTGTGGACCCCTACACCCACGTTCACACCTGTGGACCCCTACACCCACGTTCTCACCTGTGGACCCCTACACCCACGTTCTCACCTGTGGACCCCTACACCCACGTTCACACCTGTGGACCCCTACACCCACGTTCTCACCTGTGGACCCCTACACCCACGTTCTCACCTGTGGACCCCTACACCCACGTTCTCACCTGTGGACCCCTACACCCACGTTCTCACCTGTGGACCCCTACACCCACGTTCTCACCTGTGGACCCCTACACCCACGTTCTCACCTGTGGACCCCTACACCCACGTTCTCACCTGTGGACCCCTACACCCACGTTCTCACCTGTGGACCCCTACACCCACGTTCTCACCTGTGGACCCCCCTACACCCACGTTCTCACCTGTGGACCCCTACACCCACGTTCTCACCTGTGGACCCCTACACCCACGTTCTCACCTGTGGACCCCTACACCCACGTTCACACCTGTGGACCCCTACACCCACGTTCTCACCTGTGGACCCCTACACCCACGTTCTCACCTGTGGACCCCTACACCCACGTTCACACCTGTGGACCCCTACACCCACGTTCTCACCTGTGGACCCCTACACCCACGTTCTCACCTGTGGACCCCTACACCCACGTTCTCACCTGTGGACCCCTACACCCACGTTCTCACCTGTGGACCCCTACACCCACGTTCTCACCTTTGGACCCCTACACCCACGTTCTCACCTTTGGACCCCTACACCCACGTTCTCACCTTTGGACCCCTACACCCACGTTCTCACCTTTGGACCCCTACACCCACGTTCTCACCTGTGGACCCCTACACCCACGTTCTCACCTGTGGACCCCTACACCCACGTTCTCACCTGTGGACCCCTACACCCACGTTCTCACCTGTGGACCCCTACACCCACGTTCTCACCTGTGGACCCCTACACCCACGTTCTCACCTGTGGACCCCTACACCCACGTTCTCACCTGTGGACCCCCTACACCCACGTTCTCACCTGTGGACCCCTACACCCACGTTCTCACCTGTGGACCCCTACACCCACGTTCTCACCTGTGGACCCCTACACCCACGTTCTCACCTGTGGACCCCTACACCCACGTTCTCACCTGTGGACCCCTACACCCACGTTCTCACCTTTGGACCCCTACACCCACGTTCTCACCTTTGGACCCCTACACCCACGTTCTCACCTTTGGACCCCTACACCCACGTTCTCACCTTTGGACCCCTACACCCACGTTCTCCCCTGTGGACCCCTACACCCACGTTCTCACCTGTGGACCCCTACACCCACGTTCTCACCTTTGGACCCCTACAACAAAGAACCGTGTAACAAAACTGACAGGAGACACTACTGAGTCAAACACATTCACGTCCCACAAACCCAACATTGTTATTCACACGTAAAATTGCATGTAAATGATAACAGAAAACATTCACTCTAAAACAATATTTTTTATTTCATTTTATTTTTGTGTATTCATATTTTTTGTGGCATGAAATAGTTACGAATTAAAATCACCACGCAACGGACTCGCCATATTCTGCTTGGCTGTTTTATATGGGACAATGTGCGCCAATTGGAACACTTTGCTGTGGAACACTTTGCTGTGGAACACTTTGCTGTGGAACACTTTGCTGTGGAACACTGCTGTGGAACACTGCTGTGGAACACTTTGCTGTGGAACACTGCTGTGGAACACTTTGCTGTGGAACACTGCTGTGGAACACTTAGCACTGCACAGCCAAACACGGCTAGACACCACTTGATGTACATATATGGTACTACGGGCTCACCATAGTCCGTGCTACTTGGAACTTTTGTTCCGGGTAGGGACTCTTAAACAACAAGAGATGTACTCACACTTACACTTGGGAGAACAATGGTCTTCCTCCAGAGGAACATTCAGCCACTTGAACTAGTGACGTGGGCTTGGATGTCATCACAAGTTCGGTAACAACACTCTTTCAGGGCCTGACGGCTGAGTGGAGAGCGCTCGGGATTCTTAGTCCTAAGGTTCCGGGTTCGATCCCTGGCGGAGACGGAAACAAATGGCCAGAGGTTCATTCACCCCTGATGCCCCTGTTACCTAACAGTAAGTCGGTACCTGGGAGTTAGACAGTTGCTACGGGCTGCTTCCTGGGGGGGGTGGTGTAACAAAAAGGAGGCCTGGTCGAGGACCGGGCCGCGGGGAGGCTAAGCCCCGAAATCATCTCAAGATAACGTCAAGATAACGTCATTCCGTAAGTAGTAGTGTGCAGATGATCACTCAACTCTGCGTAATGCACATTTAGTGAGTTGTTAAACAATTTACTTCCATCATCACTTCTCATCTCATTAATTATTTTGTTTCCTAACACCAGCAAGACTTCAACAAAGGAAAATCTTGCTTGAGCAACTTTCTATGACAAGATGATGACAATCAAACAGGATAGAGAGGGTTGGGCCGACTGAATTTTCCTGGATTGCCAAAAAGCTTTTGTCACCTCGCAAGCAACACTTATTCCAGCTGATGAAACCTTCTGACGTGTCGGGAAAAGTAGTAAAGTGGGTGAAGGGTGTCTTACCACTACACAGTCTCCGTGGTGTAGTGGTAAGACACTCGCCTGGCGTTCCGCGAGCGCTATGTCATGGGTTCGTATCCTGGCCGGGGAGGATTTACTCGGCGCAATTCCTTAACTGTAGCCTCTGTTTAACGCAACAGTAAAATGTGTACTTGGATGAAAAAACGATTCTTCGCGGCAGGGGATCGTATTCCAGGGACCTGCCCGAAACGCTACGCGTACTAGTGGCTGTACATGAATGTAACAACTCTTGTATATATCTCAAAAAAAAAAAAAAAAAAAAAAAAAAAAAGAAGGCGTACCTTACAGGAGGAGAGTAGTCATCAAGCTCCCAGAGGGGACTCCATAGCCACACCATCAACCTGCACGTAGAGTTCACCTCCTGGGCACAGTTAAGGAGCTTCAGTGGTGCAGGAGGTCAGCACATCCCGTTACCTTGAGGTGCTTCCGGGGCTTAGCGTCCCCGCGGCCCAGTCGTCGACCAGGCCTCCTAAGACAGTTACGAGAAAATGTCGACGACATATTCGTATGTTGACAGTGATAACACACTGGAGAGGCCTCGTGGCCAGCTACAAGAATGGTCAAGTTCACTGTTGAGGAAAGTGAAGGAGGCAGGATTCCATTCCTCGAAGATCTTGTTGACGGTAACTCGGGAAGGTTCATCACAGATGTGTACCGTAAACCAACTGATGCAGGAAAATGTATGACCGGTAAGAGTGAATGTACTCACACGTATAAGAGAAGAGTCATCAGTGCGTATGTTGGTCGTGCAATACGTACATGCTTACACACAGAAATCACAATAGCGTGATGTATCATATGAAGAAATCCACAAGGGCAGTGACGAGGTTTCGAACCTACGTCCGGGAGCATCCCAGACGCTGCCTTAATCGACTGAGCTACATGGTCAAAAGAGTTGAAACCGAAGTTCTACTGAACTTACTGGATCCTGCAGCCTCTCCGAGGCACAAACCAGGGTTTTTACACAACTCTCCCCTGCACCCGAGCTATGTCAATAGGCCGTTCTCCCTCTTCGCCCTTACTTCATTACACACAGAAATCACATTAGCGGTCAATAGGTCAAAAGTTTCAACTCTTTTGACCATGTCGTAGCTCCGTCGATTAAGGCAGCGTCTGGGATGCTCCCGGACGTAGGTTCGAATCCTCGTCACGGCCCTTGTGGATTTGTTCACGTACATGCTCTTCTTGACAGCTCTTGCACTACCAACTTGAACTAATCCGCCAAACTGTTGTGAACAACGGTTACAGCAATACAGAATTCGATGAAATCGTAACTAAGAAACTAGGCTGCCATCTGCCTGAGGATAATCAGGCACCAGCCCGCCAAACACACACCGAAACTACGACGTTGGTACAACGTTAGAACAAGTTTTAACACCTAACCAGTTATAACAACCAATATTGCAAGTTGTAATAACGTTCTAATACGTCATAAACACGTTAAGCCAAGATGTAACAACTTTATTACAAGTTGTAACAAGCGGAAAATAGAGAGAGTTACGGTTTGTGTCTCCAGGGAGGGCTGGAAAATCGGCCCCCAGGAGAAGACATTGTTGTGTATTAGGAAAATATTATCACTCGGGCATATAAGAAGGATGAGAAGGTGATACGAGACATAATTGACAGTAATTACAAACCTTGCAGTGAAAACGCCAGGACGCGTCCTGTCATTTATTATAACAACCCTCGTACATCTTCCCTTATTATGAGACATAACATCTCTGCCTCCTGTCACAACCTGAGGTGTACTGATGTAGTGTATCATTACACATGCAGCTCTGGAGACTGTGCGCTCAGAAATGTACCTTATCTTGAGGTTACCTTGAGGTGCTTCCGGGGCTTAGCCTCCCCGCGGCCCGGTCGTCGACCAGGCCTCCTGGTTGCTGGACTGATCAACCAGGCTGTTAGACGCGGCTGCTCGCAGCCTCACGTATGAGTCACAGCCTGGTTGATCAGGTATCCTTTGGAGGTGCTTATCCAGTTCTCTCTTGAACACTGTGAGGGGTCGGCCAGTTATGAGAAATATGTATACGCTACATTGCACATACCACGAAAACACCGAGTAAACGTCTTGCACTTCATTTGCAAGACGGAGACATTAAGCAACATCATCCTCAATACCATAACACCATTCTTAATGGCCAGGTCATAGTGAAAGATACGGCAGTACTAACACGCTCCGACGACCGTAGAGACTTCATAAGCTAGAGGCTGTGTTCATGCGGCAGTAATAATAACAGTAATCAACATCCAGATGAATTAGGCTTGGAGCATATAACTGTTCAATGTTCCACCATTGACCCAGAGGGAAGATGTAAGACCTGGCGGACAGCAGAAGCCGGTGTCAGGCAACAATTACCTCAACCTATCCTTCACCGCTCCCTACCATTAAGGGGGTTAGGTTAAGTGAATCATTGTTGACCTTACACCAACTTGTAAGTAGACTACATGTGTGTTAGTGCACCAGAGTGTACTGCTCAAGATGTACCATCCCTGACGAAACGTCGACACAATAACACTGGAGAGAGTAAGTGATCTACAGTGTCTCCACCCTCCACATGCTACAAGATATTTGCCTACAATGGAAAATAAACTTAATAATAGTCACAATGGTGTTATGACTATTATTAATTATATATATATATATATATATATATATATATATATATATATATATATATATATATATATATATATATATATATATATATACGGCAATGTCACCCTGTCTACACCAGCGATTACGTAAGTCTGTTGGAAGATCGTGAGTCACTTTAGGCAGTGACTGGTATAGGGGTTACACTACTGGACACCCAGTGGTGGCTACCTGGCCGCCTAGGTTCGAATCCTTGAAGGGTCATTAGAATTTACGTTCGTATATTTATTTACGAGAAGTAAATCATTTATTTACCATCCCTCTCCCTTTCCCCCCATCACTCTGAATCTCCGCCCCCCCTCCTCTCTCTCTTCTCACCTTTTCCCCTCCTCTTCCACCTCTCTCCCCATCTCTCCTCCCCTTCCCCCTCACACATGTAAAATTATAAAACCAAAACCAAATAAACTGCTCAAAAGTATCAGTAAAACACCACGATTTCCAGTTCACTGCTGACCGGTGAGCATGTTGCCGACCCGACAGTCCAACCACTTCTCGCACTTTCTTATAGTCAATATTGACTTATTAAATACGTCCATATGTGACATACTAAACATACTAGTTTACCTTGAAAAGCTTCATAGAAAACACCGACCTTACCTAACCTTCTTAGTATGTTAAGATAAGCCTCTTATTGCTTCGTAATTACAATTATTACTTAACCTATACCTATAAAATACCTATACCTATACCTGTAATAGGTTAAGTAATAATTGTAATTACGAAGCAATAAGATGCTTATCTTAACATACTAAGAAGGTTAGGTAAGGTCGGTGTTTTCTATGAAGCTTTTCAAGGTAAACTAGTATGTTTAGTATATCACATATGCACGTATTTAATAAGTCAATATTGACTATACGAAAGTGCGAGAACTGGTTGGACAGTGTTGGGGACGTACCCGACAGGAATCAGGGTGCAAAGTTTGGCGAGCATACCTCCAAGCGTCTGAACCAGGATTCATCAAGCAGTTACACAAGTGCTTACGAAACCTGTACATCATCTCAGTCTCCGGCGGCCTTGAGTTAATGAGTTACAGTTAACAGTTAATGAGCCGGGAAGCACCAGGAGGCTGTTTATAACAATAACAATAGTTGACTTGGAACTTCCAAAGCTCATAAACTGTTGTTGACCAGACCACACACTAGAAATTGAAGGGACGACGACGTTTCGGTCCGTCCTGGACCATTCTCAAGTCGATTGTTCTCATAAACTGTTAAATAAATGTAAATAAAGTCGTGAGTGATTGTGGAGTGATGCACAGGGTAGTAACTAGATGCGTAACTGCTTGTTGATTACTGGCCCGGGCCTCCAACCTCGAATATTGTTGTTAAGATTCGCTACGTGGAACAAACAGATCCAAGCAGCACTGGCTATGGTGAGCCCGTAGACTTGTCTGTCCAATAATAACCTCGAATAGACAGACATGTCCATTCATACATGTAGAATTCAGAGTCGCGAGCGAGCGGTCAACGTCCATAACTCACAATCCAAGGACCCGGGTTCGATTCTCGGCCGAAACAATTATTTTGGCCGAATTTCTTCCTGCCAAAAACGTTTGTTTCATTTACTGCTAAGTGAACAGAAGCATCCACCCGATGCTTCCGTTCACCTAGCAGTAAACAGGTACGTTGGAGTTAGACAGCTGTTGTGGGTTGCATCCTGAGGATATGTGCGTGTGTGAAAGAGATAAATATATAGTAGATAT